AGTGGTACAAGGGCTTCCTCAAGGACTGCCCCACGGGCATCCTCAACGTGGACGAATTCAAGAAGATCTACGCCAACTTCTTCCCTTATGGTGACGCCTCCAAGTTCGCTGAGCACGTCTTCCGCACCTTCGACACCAACAGCGATGGCACCATTGACTTCCGGGAGTTCATCATCGCGCTGAGCGTGACCTCGCGTGGCCGCCTGGAGCAGAAGCTCATGTGGGCCTTCAGCATGTACGACCTGGACGGCAATGGCTACATCAGCCGCGAGGAGATGCTGGAGATTGTGCAGGTGGGCCCCGGGCCCCTCAGAATGCCAGGTGCAGGGCCCAGCAGTGTGCACCCCACCCCTTTCCATCCTCTTGACAGCCCTGTGGGTAGGAGGCAGCAGGTGCTATTCTTACAGCCCATTTAAAAAACTCTTTCATTAGGAAATCTTTTCTCATTTAAAGAAAAGTTGAGTAAATTCCCATAAACCCTTTAGCCAGATCCACCAATATTGACCACCACTGCTTTATCATTGTGTGTGTGTGTGCACATGTGTGTAACGTTTTGTTGTTCCGGACAGGACCCTTTACCCCCAGATACATCGGGATAGAGTCCCTAAGACAGGGACATCCTCTTACATAGCCCACATTATGATCATCAGAGTCAGGGCATTTAACACAGAAACAATGCTGTTATCTAACCTACAGACCATATTCCAATTTTGCCAAATGTCTTCATAATACTCTCTTTTGCCCTGATCTAGGATCATACATTGCATTTTGTTTTCGTGTCTCTTTAGTCGCTGTTAGTCTGTGACAGTTCCTCAGCCTTTCTTTGTCTTTCAAGATTTGACATTCCTGCAGAGTACAGGCCAGTTACGTTGAATCGATCCTCATTTACTCAAGAGAAAACAGTTGCTCAGAGAGGTAAAGACATTTGCTTGAGGCCACACAGCCTGTGAGTGGGCCACCTGGATTCACAGTCCACATTCCATCTGGATACCCAGCCACAAACCAACTAATTAATTCAGGACTCTCTAATAGCCTCGTGCTTACAGCGATGAGCTCCGTGCATCTTTACAGCAGCCTCATGAGGCTCAGAGAGGTGAAGTGACTTGTCCAAGGTCACACAGCATATAAGAGGGGTCAAGCTCAAGCTGGCTACCACTCAGAGCTACCTCTTGAAAAGGGTCTGGCTTCCCATTCTGGAGTTCGACTCAACTCTTAGGTAGCTCATCTGAAAAATTCTGATCTTACAGGGAGAATTTAGGACCTGATAAGAATGTCATTTTAATACAAATTTAAGTGTGACCTGTTAGCTTTTCTCAAAAAGCGTCCAGAGTGTCCATGCCCTCATGCAGCACTAAAGACCATCGAGGCTCCGGTTCTCTTTACCCATCCAGTTCCTTGTACCCGAGCTTCTGCTTCTTCACCTGTAAGTGAGGATGTTAGCCCTCAAGGCTACGGCAGGTGTAGAGTGGGACGGGACTCTGGCAGAAGGCCCCGCAGACAGTTGGTTCTTGGTAAACGTTGTGATTCTCTTCCTGCACATTCTCTGCTCCAGCCGGAATGGCCTTTTCAACGTCCTTGGAATGTGCCCTGAGTAATCCTGCCGCACAGCTTTGCTCAAGCCCTTGCTCCCCTTCCTTCCGCCTTTCTTTTCGTCCCTCAGCTCTGCCGACTGCTCCCCACTTCTAACTCACCTCGCCCTACTGGACTCGTCGGCTTCTCTGCCACTAGGGCCTGGGTCTGCTCTCTCCAGCTAGAGTAGAATGGGCTGCCTTGGGATGTGGTGCCTCCCTTTGCCTGTCAAGAGGGGAAAGCCTTTACGTTTGTCAGTGACTCCCGCGGGCCAGGCGTTAAGTCTCTAGTTGATGGGTAGTGGGGAGTTCTGGGGGTTCTGGTGGAAAGGCTGAGGTAGCCAGAGTGGTGGAGGATTACTGAGGGGTTGGGCAGCAGCTGGATACCAGCCAATGTGGCGGGGTGTTCATGTTTTACCACTTAGCGCGGTTGCACTGGTATATACTGGTAAATCTCAGCCCTGCTGGGGGCGCCAGCCAGTCCCATTCCCTGGGCATCCTCGGGACGGCCTGGCTGGCCTCTGCTGGCTGGGCCCTGGTTTCCCTCGCTACAGCCCATCAGTCAGCCCCAGAGGCCAGTGCAGCCAGGCAAGCCCCAGTGCCTGATTAATGACAAGTCAGCTCCAGGGAAACAATGAGTGAGCAGCAATTCCAGACAATTAATTAGGAGGCCCACAAGGGGGCGTTCACTAAGTCACTTGCTCAGTCCTTCTCAGACTCTGTCCTGTGGTCAGTACACTAGAAGAGAAGAAACTGCATCTTGGCTGCTTGGGGCTCCCACCCTGGTGGGCAGGCCACACTGCCCAGCTTGGTGACAGGGTTGTAAATGTGGCATCTGGAAGCTCAGGGGACTGAAGGTCAGGGAAGAACTGAGGATGTGGTGGATGAGTAACAATTAGTATACAAGCTGCTGTTTACTGACTACTTACTCTAGCCAGTCACTGTTCTATACACATGATCTCATTTAATCCGTTAGACAATCCCCACGAGAGAGATATGATTACCCCATTTTACAGATGAGAAAACTGAGGCTCACAGAGGTTAAGTACTTGTTGAAGGCTACATAGCAAGTGATTAGTGGAAACAGGATGCCACTCCAGGTCCCCCTTACCTCACGGCCCCCGCGGATCATCACCACCCACAAGCATCTCTCCAGCAACTAAGAGGAAGTGGGTTCTAATCTGATCTCTGCCATGAATTCCCTTCCTGAGCCTTTATTTCTTATCTGGAAAATAGGGATAAAGTACCTGACACATAAATGGTAGCTGGTATTGTCGTTCCAGGCAGAGGCTGTGAATGCTGGGGAACCGGAAAGGTGCAGGAGTGTTTAGTTGTGGCAGAATCACCTACCCGTGGAGGCCTGATAGTGGAGGGGTCAGAGGGACCAGATTGTAAAAACTCTGAATGCCAAGGGCCAAATGGCTTGGACTTGGTACAGAGGGCAGTGGGAGGTGCCAGTGGCTTTCGAAAGGGAAGTTCCTGCCAGAAGCCCGCACGGTGCTCAGCTCTGGGGATATGGGCACTAGCTAGATGTCCACGGTCCTTATGTGTATGTTGGGGACTAGGAACAATCCAACAAAGGCGTCCCCTGCGGTGTCCCCTAAGGAGAAGCCCAGGAGACTCCGAGCGGGCATATGGGCCCCGACCAGCATGGATCCGAGGAGGGCTCCCTAGACAAGCGCCATGGAAGCTGAGCCGCAAGGAGTGGGAGGCAGCAGAAGAAGGAGCTGAGTGCACGGCAGGTCTGGAGGGAGGCCTGCGGATGACTGGAGAGAGGGGGCGGCCCGCTGGGCTGGGGACGTGGTGGTGGAGATCTGTGTTTAGAAAGAGCTCTCGGAGGCAGCGTGGGGGCACAGACCCAGGGAATGAGGCTGGGAGAGACCAGGTGGAGGCCAAAGCCGGATCTGAGGCAGGGTACATTTGTGGTATGGGCGAAGGGGAGCAGGTTTCTTGGAGGTGGCTTCAGTAGCGAAAAGCTGGAAGATGGAGACGATCGGCCCGGTCCTTGAGCCGATCCCACCCGCCAAGCCCCACGTGCTCTGTGTACTTTTAGCGCAACCCCCCTTGGTGTGCCTCGGAGCTCCTGCACGTGGGCGACTACTGCCTAGGGTCCCGCCGAGTCCAGGTTGTCCCCGCCCCCGGCAGATGCTCATTTGCGTTTATTTGCATAACATTCCCCGCCCCCTCTGGGCCCTGCAGCCTCCGGCCTTCCAGCCCTCACGGCGGCCCAGCGCCCCCTGCCGGCCACAGGGGTACCGCAGCCCAGTGCCACCTGTCGCAGCCCAATTCCCTCTGTCTGTGCCCAGCGTGGGGCACCCGGAGTTTCCGAGAAACAACGCTAAAACCGTGCTTACCCGGGAAACTGCAGCCCCATGTCTTCCCACATCTCTGCTCACCCCCTGCACTCAGCTACCCCAAAACTGCCGGCGCCTGCTCGGAGCTCCCCGCGGCGCTCTTTGGAAATGCCTATCCCTCGGTCAGCAACTGCTCTCCCACCTGCGCGCCACGGAACTTGGCCCGGGCCCTCGCCTACAGACTCCCCTCCTGGGAAACCTTTCCAGACACTCCCTCCCGGACCCCGGGGCCCCCACTCCCCCGTGACCCCCTCTCCACTCGTCAGTGTAACTGGGGGCGCTTCTGAAGGTTGGGGTGGGGGTGCTCGGCAGCCTCCTCTCACTCCCCGCCTTCCCCTCCCGACCCCCAGGCCATTTACAAGATGGTTTCGTCGGTGATGAAGATGCCGGAGGACGAGTCGACCCCGGAGAAGAGGACGGAGAAAATCTTCCGCCAAATGGACACGAATAACGACGGTGAGGGGCAGGGGCGGGCGCCACCTCCTCCCCCTCCGCGGCTCTGCCCTCTGCCTCCCCTCACACGCGGGTCGCCTTCTCCCCGACACCGTTCCCTCCCGCTGCAGGCAAGCTGTCCCTGGAGGAGTTCATCCGCGGAGCCAAGAGCGACCCGTCCATCGTGCGCCTGCTGCAGTGCGACCCCAGCAGCGCCTCCCAGTTCTGAGCGAGGAGCCAGGTCCCCTCCTCCCCGCCTCCACCGGCCGCTCCCGGCTCTCGCTTCCCCTCCCTTGTGTCTCTCCAGGCTGGGGGTCAGACTGGGCCTTCCCCCCAGGGTCCGCACTCTGGGGGGAGCCTATGGAAAAGGGAACCCTGCCGTCCTCCCAAGGCCCAAGCAAGCGGTTAGCACCCCCAATCCAAGGCCATCTCTCCCTTCGGCAAAGATAGGGAGACAGGCTCTGTCGTGGTCCTCCCCTCCGAGTCAGCCTTCCCCTACCTCGATCTCAGAATTTCAACCAGCCCCCCTCCCAACCCACACACACAGCCCCGAGGCCAGACGTCCCTGCCCCAATCACTGGCAGTTCCCCCTCCCCCACCCCACCCTGGTAGGTCTCAGCCTGGGTGGGGAACGTGGAAACCGAGCGCAGGTGAGGAGCCAGTCTTTTTATTTGGAGGGGAGAGAAGGATTGGGGGGCGGGGCGCGGAGGGATAAGGATAAAGCTTCCTGGAGCCATCCTTCCCTTCCTGCTGCAGCTTTTGTTGGCTGGAGACCACGCTGCAAAAGGAAAACCTCCCAATTGCAGTGTGAGCCCCATGAACCCCCGCCCGCCTTTCAGCACGTGGATGAACACAGGCCCACAGACACAGCTAACCGCCCCCGCCCCCTGCATCCTGCGTGGGAAAGCACAGGCCCTGGCTGAGCCCTCCCCTGCTGCATGCCTCCCGGCCGAGCGTCTCTGTTCTTTTTAATAACTTCAGAATAAAGTCTCACTTCAGCGCAGAGCGTGGGTGGCCGGGGGAGGGGTTTAAAATCCCCACCCAGATCCGGGAATGGCCACCGAGCCCTCACCGGCCAGCTCCAGGGATCCTGGCCTGGTCACAGTGCAGACTTGGTTGCAGGTCCCCGTGCTCATGGGGTTGGGTGAGGCAGCAGCTGTCAGATGGTCAGCGGGCCAGAGCTGGGGCAGCTCATCAGGTCATGGCCTTCCGCAGGCTCCGGGCTCTCCTGCATCTGCGGAGACAGGGGAGGCTGCCAGGCTGTGGACCTGGGTCTGGGTCTCCTCCAGGCCCCCCGGGGAGACGAGGCTCCCTGAAGCAGAGCGGCATCACTGCATCCCAGGCCACACCCTTGGAGGGCCCCCAGTTCCAGCCCAGATGACCCCCCCCACTCAAGTCCTGGGCCCTGGGTGAACCAGGAGCCAACGGTGTGTCTTAGCTGGGAGATCTGACCCCTCTGAGCCTCCAGGCCTCTCCCTTTGGTCCTGGGGAGAACACTGTCGCCCCAGTTCTCAAGTGGGAGCCCCATGCAGAGGGATGGGGGCTGCCCAGCAGGGGCTCCCAGAAAATGAGGGGAGTCACGGCTGTGGAGGGGAAGGCAGGCCTTACCATGTGGTGGCTGCTTTTCCCCCACCAGGGCCTCAGTTCCAGCAGCTGGTGGGCTAGCTGAGCGCATCGCACAGCGAACACACTCTCTGTCACGCAGAACACAAGTGCGATACCCCAGAGGCACAGGCTGGAGCTCTGCAGGGACACAGGGGGCAGAGATGGCCACAGGGGTTGGGGGTGGGCGGGCAAGGCTCCAAGAACCCTTCCCACCTCTGATGAGCACTTGATTGACCCCCCACTCCCCACCCCATCCCAGGCCTAAGGACTCACATAAATGCGTGTGGGGTCGAAGGGACAGTCGGGTGCCAGGGCCAGTAGTTCGGGGCTCTCAAAAGTGCAGGCGGCCAGCAGTGCCCGGCCCTGGGTGGCAAAGGTCACAGCGATCGAGGCCAAGAGTCCAAGAGCACAGGTCAGAGAGAGAAGGGCACAGGCCACACTTGAACTAAATACTGCCCAGCGCTGGATAGGAGAGACCACTGGTCAGTGGCTATTGGGCTCCACCCCACATGGGCAGTTCTGGCCCCCATGGGGTCAGCTCACCCCCTCCCAGCAGGCCAGGCCCTTCTTTCCCCAAAGCCCCATTCCAGGAGGTGCCACATACCAGAGGGATGCTGGGGAGGTAGCGTGACAACACAATGGCTGCGATGCCCGAGGTGATGACCTGTGGGGAGACTCAAGTCAGCCCTGACCCTCCTGCTGGAGGAGAGCGGGCAGTGAGGTCAGGGCCCCTCTCAGATAAGGATTCCACCAATGCCAACTGGAGCCCTCAAGCCGCCTCCTCCCCCCACTGCTTTGCCTTAGCTTCATTACTTTGATCTGCATGGAGGCACTGCCCCCTCATGGTCCAGCCCCCAAGTGATGTTTCTAAAGCACAGTCACTTCCTGCCTACAACCTTCCATGGCTCCCCACTGCCCATAGCTGTGTAGCTCCAACAGGGACCTGTGTATCCCAGGGCCGCAGCGGCATGTACCAGGATATGTATGACTTGCCTCCCGGGAGTGGAAGAGATTTGGGAAGAAACTAAGTAACTCGCTGTCAAGGAACTAAACACAAAATAAACAAATCAGAACACTTTATGGAGAATTCAAAATCTTAGGAGTACGTTATCTCAAGCTCTCAGTGACCTGGCCTCAGTCCCAGCAGCATCTCAGCCCCACCCTGCCAAGCCTCTTCCTCATTGCCCTAGATGTAGACACCCACACACAGCCTGCTCATGATGCTGTCCGCACAGCGCCCTCTCAGCCCCAAGAGTTGGCTGGCTAACCCACCAGCTGCCCCCTGGCTCTCTGGGGCTCCATTCAGCCAGGCTTCCTTCCTGAGCTCCCTCACTGTATCAGGCATGGGCTGCACCCATAGGAGGCAGGTGGTATAGAAGGACTCCAGCAATGTCTGTAACTCACTGTGCAGCCATGAGTAGGTGCCTCAGCCTCTCTGGGCTAAGTCCTGCTCTGCACGCTGAGCTTATGGAAAAGACACTGACTTTGGTGTCAGATACATTGTGTCAAATCCAGCCTGGCCTCTTTGCTTCAGCAGGAGGCTGGGTGAGTCCCTGAGAGGTTTCCCCCTGTCGTGATAATAATGGCCCCATGTTGCTGAGAACAGTGAGAATTAAATGAGGAAATGAGGGTAAAGCGGAAGTGGTCCATCCTGGAGCCCATAATCCTGAGCTCACGGCCTTCCTTGCCTTCTATCCAGGCTGGTGAGAGGAAAATACAAGAGTAATAATAACGCCAAAGCACCGCACACATCGCCATGGCTCAGCCTGTCCCACTGACGGAGGCACTCCTTGCTGGGCTGGCCGAGCTTCGTTATGCAGGGGAGGGAACAGGCTGACAGGGAAAAATAAGTCCCTTAGCCAGGAGGTGGCAGGGAAGGACCTGACGCTGACATGCGGACATTCCCCAAAGGGCTGTGGCCACCTCTGTGGCTAGGTGGGAAAGAACTTTATGCACTTGAGAATACCGGGCTCCTTCATTCATGTATTCATCAAGCCGGTCTCGACATCCAGGCATAACCGTGGCTACCATTTATTCAGTACTTATGTAGACCAGGCCTCATGCTAAGCTTCTGAAACATTGTTTTTTCAGTGTCTCCAGAACAGACCTGAGCTATTCCCACTTCCATACCTTTGCATCTGCCATTCTCTGTACTTGGAATGCTATCCCAGCTTCCTCTACTACCTGTTGGCCACACACCGGGGCTATGGAAATTGCACCCTATCCTGGAATTCCTCCTCAGCCATCAGTGCCCAGCTCAGGGGCTGCTCCCTCGGTGAACCCTCCTGAGCGCTCTCCAGCTGAGCGGCTGCTCCTTCCTTCTGTCCAGTGGCATCTTGCCTATTGCCCGCTATACTCATCATCCCAGCTCACAGCAGCGAGGCTGAGCATGTGGCAGACACTGTGCCAAGCACTTCAGTGGATGATCCCGTCCAGTGCTCACCAGGACCCTCTGTGGTGGCCACTGTTACGATCCCCACTTTATAGATGAGGAAGCTGAGGTAAAGGGAGCTTGGGTGGCTCATGCCGTTGGTAAGTGGAGCAGGGGTTAGTGCGTGGGCTCTCTACTGGCCCATCCCAGGCTCTGGGTGGAGACTCACTGGAAACCTTTCCGGCCCCCGCCAGCCCCGCCAGCCCCTCCCGGCCTGGGCCTACCAGGATGGCAGAGGTGACCGAGAGGATGTTGACCACGCAGTACTGCAGAGCCACGGTGTCGTGGGGGGCAGCCACGTAGCGCAGCACGGTGCCGTGGAGCAAGGCGGCCGCGATGAAGCTCATGTGGCCCAGCACCACCAGCACCAGCCCCGTCTTCATCAGCACCTTCCGGAAGTCATCCACACTCAGGCCACCTGTGGGGGACAGCGTGTCAGGGCCATGGGTGAGGCTCATCCTGCCATGTTCTTGGGGACCCTGTGCCAAGAGGTAGTCCCCAGGAATCAGGGAGGGATGGGGCCATCCAGTCACAGACACTCCGTGTGACCCTGTGCCAGCCCCTTTCTGAGGCCCAGATGACTCCCGTGTCAGACGGGGAAGGCTTGGTCTGGCTGATCTGAGAACCCAGAGCCTGCAGGACCCTCTGCAGCTGCAGATGGAGGAGAGTCAGAGGGCAGGTGATAGGCTGGACAGGCATGTGGAACCGGAATGGCATCGTGTAGATTAACTGCTGGCCAAACAGGAAGGGGCACAGCAGCTTTGTCCCAGGGCCCTGACCCACCTCGCCCCATCCACCCACCCACCTGGCACCCAGATACCACCCGGCCCTGAGCCAGGCGGGCTCATAAACAACAGCAGCATCCCAGGCCCAAGACTTTGGTCCAACTGGAGGCACCGTGCCACCGCCGCGGGCTATGCCTGGAGCGCTGGGCAGAGAGTCTGAGGGCAGGCCCTGGCTTGTTGCTAAGTCACCATTCTTGGAGCACTTAGCCGTGTGGTTGCATCCTGGTAAGCACTCCACTCTTAGAGCTCCTTTATCCTCAGGGTAGTCCTAAGGAGGAGGGGCTACCACCCCATTTTACAGCAGAGGAAACTGAGGCTCACAAGGTCTCTTGGACTCCCCAGGTGTGTCTGATGCCAAGAGCAGCACCACTGAGCCCAGGGAGTGAGGGAGGGGGCATCCACCCCACTCCCCTCCGGATCCTGTTCGCCAATGGTCCTTCTCCCCACCCCAGGGAATGGCAGTAGGAACCCTGGGCAAGGCGAGGAAGCGGAAGGCAGGCGGCCTCTGGCTCAGAGCTCCCTGGGCCGGATTTCCTCCTGCGTCTTCCTTCTGGGCGAGGTGGGGGCAGCTCTCTCCAGCGTTTCTTCCCCGGCCTGGGGGGTGGGGAGGGGGGGGGTCCCGCCTCCGCAAGAGAGGAAACAGGGGAAGAGGCCGGAGGGCACCGCATCCCTCCACATCTCCGCTGGCACAACTGGCCAGAGCCCAGTGCCCTGCAGGGAAGGCGGCCTGGACTCCGGTCCCCGGCTCCCCCGACAGTGCTCCGCCCCGGCCGCAGCCTTGGGTGGTGCGGGCCTCCCGGGGTCCCCCCGCCCCACCCCGCCCCGCGGCTCACCAAGGCGCAGGCACATCTCGGCTCCCGCGCTGGGTCCCCGCGGCCGGCTCAGTGGGGCTCCAGAGGCTGCGGGCGGCCTGGCGGCTCCGCTCCCATCCCGGTCAGCGGCCGCCGCGCTCCCGCATTCGAGCCGCTCCCACTTCCCGCCGGAGCCCGGGCTCGCCGGCACCGCCGGCCTTCCTTCCCGTCACCCCCGGGGCGGCCCTGCCCCGGGAGGGCCCTGGCGGCCGGCTCGCATCCGGGCCGGTCAGACCGGCTGGGCAGCCCTTCCTGGCCCGCCCGTCTGAGTCACAGCGCTGGCCCCACCCCCCCGCCCGCCCGCCCGCCCGCCGGACCGGCACAATGAAGGGGCTCCCGAACTACAGCCAGGACTGGTAAAGTCCCTACTACGTGCTCCTGCCAGGACTGGTAAAGTCCCTACTACGTGCTCCTGCCAGGCCTGCACTTTTAAAGGGTCTCTAGAGAGTTTTCAAAGCATTTTCTTATTTTATCTCACCACGAGCTTAGGGGGCAGACATTAGTATCCCTGTAGACAAAGGTAAACAGGCCGGGAACAGAGAGAAAGCAATTTGCCTGAGGTCACCCTAAGGACAGACCCTGTCCCCCAGGCAGTGCCTTCTGCCACCCACTGCTGTGCTCCCCAGAGGATCCCCAGCCTTCACCTTGACCACAATCGCCCAGAGAATATGCGCACGACCCCCCTCTCCCGCTCCCTCGCTCCTCTGAGCTTCAGTTTCCACCTGTAAAGTGGGCATCACTGAAGTGGAGGCCTGGTGCACAGCTGTACCCGGGCCCACTGTGTGCCCTGTGTGTGGGGCCTCTGGGTCAGCACACCCAGAGCCTCTGGAGAGTTAAGGGAGCACAGTCACACCACAGGAGGGAGTGGGGCCCTCTGGCCGGGCCTGGCAGCCCTGTGACATCACAGGCCACCACCGTCAGGCAGACGTGCTGCCCTCTCAGGCACTGTTTGAAGGGGGACAATGCGCGACAGGTGCAGGTGGGAAGGAAAGCATGAGAGGTGAGAGAGAGACGGGGACAGTTCCCAAGCCACCGGCTGGCATCTGAATGCTGATGTCCCTGTGGACGGCCTCATCGTCGGGCGCTTGGGCAGGACTCGTCTGTATTGTAAATGGTCAGACACTTGTACTCGTGACCCAGCAATTCCACTTCTAGGTCTTTCCCCTACACACCAAAGAGTGCAAAGGGACACACACCTCTAATGATGTTTATGGACAGGCTGTTTCTAATAGCAAGTAACAGCACCAAAGTGACAACCAAGAGCTGGTATGGGCTGGAACAATCCTGAGAGGGAAAGATTCTCACCCATTTCACAGATGAGAAAAGTGAGGCAGAAGGTAAAGGGCTCAGCGGTAGAGCCGAGACTTGAATCAGGCCTAACTGTGAAGGCTGCCCTGACTTCTGAGTGTGGTTGGGGACCGTGGGGAGCCATAGCCCTCAGGGACGGGGCCTGCTTTCTAGGGCCCTGAGGAGGGAGAACTGTACACCTGTTTCTCCCCAGACACAAGTTCCTGGTTAGGGCCCAGCCTTAGCTGCCTGAAGTTATTGCCGTTTCTCTTCCTTATTGCCAATTGGTCAAAGTCCATTAGTCCGAGCCACCCAGTGCCCCTTGCCTCTGCCCCACCCCTCTGCACACTGGCCTTAGGTTCCAGGAAGAACCCCGCCACAGCTCTAGTCACTTGTCCTCTACCAACTCCCCGTGACGCGCTGGCAGCTCACTGTCATTCCCTGGGCCTCAGTTTCCCCATCTGTCAAATAGAGATAAGGACTGCCTTTCCTGCCTCCCAGATTTTGGAGGCATAACGCTTTGAGGGATATGAGAATGGATTGGAACCCAGCCAGAGAAATATAAGTTGTAATTCTCTCTCTTCCTGGAACATTTAACAACCAGGTGTGGCATAGACGGGAGGCTGGGTCTTCCCAGGGCTGCTCAGCTGGGGGTGTTGGTTCAGGCTTCTGTCCCTGTGCACCCCCTCCTCACCTGAAAAAAGGCCTCCCCCCATTACAATAACAGTTCCTCCATGTAACTAAAACAGTCACACGCAAACCCTACCATATTCCAAGTTAGTATATATATACATGCACACAAAGCTGAAAGCCAACTGATCTTGCTTGTCTGAGAAGAGGAGGCAGTTAAGGGGACTTTTATGTGTTTACAATTACAAATTCTAGATGGTGTGAATAAGGGTGTTTGTTATTTTTTGTAACTTTTACATTTCAAAAAAAAACAACAACTCATTGTAGAAGACTTGAGGGGCAAACGGAAAAGTATAAAGAAAAAATCAGAACTACCCACAATCCTCTCTGCCCTCACAGAAAACCGCCGTTCACATTTGGAAGGTTTCCCTATGTGCGTCTATCATTTTGTTCTTGAGACTCCCGCCACCCGGCTTCCCTCTGCCAGTCCTTCTCAGCACCTTACGTGTCTCCCTCCCTGTCACCCACCTCCATCCATCAAAGACTTGGGTTTCCAGATTTCCATCAGGCAATCTGTGCTCAGGTCCCGCTCATCCATGTGAACGACCCTCCTCAGGGACCTTCATCATGACCCCAGCCATCCTCTCTGGGTCATGCCTGCAACAACCCCCTCTGACATCCCAACCTCAAGCACCCCTAAAGGCACAGCATGCCCATCTCCCGACGCCCACTGCCTCATTCCCTGACTTCACAGAGGCCACTGGCCCATTCCCTTTTCTGCTGTTCAGTTAGCACCCTGCTGGCCTCTTCATCACATCACCTGCACCACAAGGTTGAGCACCTGAAGGCCAGTTCAGTTGTTCAGGTGAGAGATGAGAAGTGTAGGGGACTTGGACTTGGACCAGGATAGTGGCTGTGGAGATGGAGAGCCGAGGAGAGATTTGAGAGATGTGATTCTAATACACATTACAATTTGGAAAGCACTATTTTAAACCCATTTACCTCCTTACCTTATTCTCCCAGTCACTCCTCCAGCCCCACATGGACACTTCTCCATCCCACATCCTTCCTCCTTCTGCGGTCCTTCCCACTGGCCTGTAAACATGCCCAAGTCTCTTCATCCTACAAGAACACACCCTCTTTCGACTCCTTTTGCATTTTTAGTTACTTCTTCTGCATTTCCTTTCCATTCCCTTCCAGACCTCCAGAGTGGATTAGCTTACATGCTGTCCCCATGCTCTCCACTCCCACCTCCTCCTCAGTCCACAGCAATGGGGTTCAGCCCTCTGCTGGAAGAGCCCTTGTCTAGGTCACCAGGATATCACTCCCCTGAATCCAATGGAAGCACCTCTTTCCTGGTTTTCCTCCTGCCTCTCTGGTTGTTCCTTCTCAGTCTCCTCTGTGGGCTTTTTGTCATCAGCTCGACCTTTAAGCGTTGGTGTTCCTCTGCATCCTTTCTGCGTCCTTTCTTGTTTGCGTTGGTTGGTTCATGCCTTGTTGCGGTTCCCTTTCTATATGGTGATTCTCAAATCACTGTCCCTCACCTAGACAGCTCCCCTGAGCATCAGACTCAAGTATCCAATCACCTTATCTCTCCACCTGTGTGTCCCTCAGTCACCTCAAGCTCAACATGCGCCAATCGGTAGCTTCATCTTTTCTCCTAAACTGCTTCTCCTGTATTTCCTGTCTCCGTTGGGGGCATCATTGTGTGCTTAAGCCAAAGCCTGGGACCCAGCCTCTACTCCGTCTCTTTCTGTATAAAGTCAGTTCTCTGGCCCTGCTGATTTACATCATAAATGTTTCTATAACACGCGCCTTGCTCTTTGTCCCTGCTATTCCTGCCCTTGCCCTTGTTCATGGAGCATCTCTTGTCCCCAATTGTTTTTTTACATGACTAAGTGATCTTCCTAACGTATAAATCAGATCACATTACTCTTCTGCTTACCATCAGAAGCAACACAAAAGAAAGTAAAGAAGACAAATAAATGGAAAGGTATCTGGGGCTCTTGGATTGTAAGGTTTGATGTTGTTAGGATGACAATTCTCCCCAAACTGATCTACAAATTGAATGCAAACCCTATCAAATGCTTTTTTAAAAAAATAGAAATTCACAAGTTGATCCTAAAATCATATGGAAATGCAAAAGATCCAGGATAGCCAAAATAACTGTAAAAAAGAAACAATCACACTTCCCAATTTCAAAATGTACTACAAATCTACAGTAATCAATACAATGTGGTACTGGCATAAGAATAGACAAACAGATGAGAGGAATGAAATGGTGAGTCCAATAAAGAAACCAGAAATAAAAATACACATATGATCAACTGATTTTTGACAGGGGTACCAAGATAATTTAAGGGAGAAAAACAGTTACCAACAAATGTAGCTGGGACAACTGGGTATCCACATGCCAAAGAATGAGATTGGACCCTGGCTGGTGTCACTTAGTGGTTAGAGCATTGGCCTGAGCACTGAAGGGTCGTAGGTTCAATTCCCGGTCAAGGGCACATACCTGGGTTGCAGGTTCAATCCCTGGCTCCACTAGGGGTATGTAGGGGAGGCAACCAATCAATGTGTCTTTCACATTAATGTTTCTCTCTCTCTCTCTCTTTCCCTCTCTTTTTTCTCTCTCTCCCCTCCACCATTTCCTTCCTCTCTTCCACTCTCTCTAAAAATCAGTGGAAAAAATGTCTTCAGTTGAAGATTAACAACAAAAACAACAACAACAAAGAATGAGGTTGAACCCCTACCTCATACCATATACAAAAATTAACTCAAAGTGTAAGAACTAAAACTATAAAACTCTTAGAAGGAAACGTAGGCACAAACCCTTGTGACCTTGAATTAAGCAATGCTTTCTTAGGTATGACACCAAAAGCACAAACAACCACAGATAAATCTGATTTCATCAAAATGAAAAACTTTTTGCTTCAAAGGACATAACAAGAACATTAAGAACAGAGGACCTAAGTATCTCATAATAGCTCACCACTCAATATTCAGCGCCTAGAACAGTCACATGGTAGGTATTAACTGATGAATAGAGCATTAAATCCGTGGTTCTCAAAGTATGGTCTGGGAACCCATGAGGGTCCTCAAAGACCTTTTCAGAGGATCTGTGAAGTCAAAATTATTTTCTTAATCTACTTTGATGTTCTTTTGCTTTTTTGATGGTGGAAAGGCAATGATGAGGCCCCTTAGCACAAAGGAAGGCAGCGGCTCTGAGCTATATATGTAGTCATTGTATTGTCACTGCCATGTGCACACAGTATGAGAAATAAATATGCCAGTTTCACTTGAGAATGACGTGATGAAACAGTAA